AAAAAGGAATAAGACACTTGGTCTGTAGGACATTGTGTCCCAACATGTCCAAGGTTTGTCGATGTCCTATACATGTCAACCACTCAGCCCACTCATATTCCACCCTATGCGGAGTGTCCATGTTTCATGACATATATGAAAATCAACAACACACTTACACATGGAGGTGATCCACTGGACTCTAGCATTCCAATTCCAACAATAGACATGAGAGCTCCAAACCAGGTAAGAGCAGGCACCTTAGATCCTAACATGCCATCAATCATGGGTACAACAATCACCTAAACATTCACTGTATGCTAGTGAGAATTAAACCATATAGCACTCGCAAGCAGCAAGATATTTGTCAGTAATAGGTGATGGATCATGATTCTAGATAAAACTAATGGAGATTCCCTTACTGTGAACATAGTAAGAAATGATGCTCGTCCAGCATCAGATGTAAGCAGTCCAAGTGCTTGCATAATATACCCTAAGCTGACCCAAAATCCCAACTCTAGCCCTGCTTTACGGGTTTTGGCATCATGTCTAGCCTGTAGTACAAATGGGATAAACGGTAATGAAGCCACAATGAATCGCACAACAGTGAAGTCCACAGGATCAATGATTGCTTCAACTTCCTTCACAACAGGAATGTTACTAGCTGAAACAACAAGGTGTATTCTAAATAAATTAACCTTCAATTGCTATAAACTACAAGTTTCAGAAGAGATAATTGATGTTAATTTCCACACATCAGCTGTAAGGCAAATTAATTCTTTGACCCATAAAATCCAAAAGCACACTGACAAAGACACAATACAAGTCTTAATACAACATTTCTTTCCATCCTTTCCTCGGTGCATGAAACTTAAGGAATCTTTAAGACAATGAAGTTCTTGGCCAGTATGTATTAAATATCGGACAGAAGGAATTTACCATAGATATCAGTTAAAGATGAAGCAACTTTAAATGAATAAAATATTTGACACTCTTTGAAGGTGAATTCAATAGATTAAAGAATTTTGCAAGTCAATGTACTTATTTATGACTTTGCACAAGTCCCATAATTACTGCTCATTCTCTCCTTTCTTCAAAACGCACCAAAAGCAAAGATGATCAAAATAAGTAAAAGAGACATGATGAGATGAGAACACCTTCCAGTAAACATTTTCCACATTTTATACTACTTGGATTTCTAATATAACAATGCAATCTTTTGATGTTGCACATATAATAATTTTTCCAATATTTTTCCTTCAATAGATTTCATTAAATCTTCCATACGTAGGAATGAAGTCCTCCTTGTTTGCTTCAAGCAAAAATAAATAAATTTTATCAATACTGTCACGAGATCTCATTCCAAAGTTCTCTTCTGGAATAACTTATCAATCTAGTAGATATAATTTCACTCTGTTTAAGTCGGATAGACAAACAAAAAAATACGCTAATATCCCAGATAAAAAAATTCAATCGAATTAGGTTCAAGAAGCATGCCAAACTATTGCATTGCACCTCGGCTATCAACACGTATTTTTCATCTAGTTTTAGTTACACCTTCAAAGTCCGGTCACTACATGCTGACAAGTAACATTAAAACTACTATTCGCATGGAAGAACTTATAATTATGAAATCCCCATATTTTTCTAAGAAGCATATCTAAATGAGTTCCTCCATCAAAACCACGGCCCCTCTCCGATGTAAAGTATAAGATGTTACTCATCATTAGTCTGCCACTCTAAATAATATCAAGTTGGCACTCAGAGTTAAGCATCTCAACAAAATGTCGTTTACTCATAATACAGAAAATCCATAATGACTGAACTAAATAAAGCCTTATAAGAAACTTAAAGTCCTAGTCTGTGGGAAAATTTGCGCAAGTACACAATCTTTAATAAAAGGAATTATTCAGTAATTAAAGCTCTTAACTTGCAAACATAAAATAAAAAACTAAAAATTGATGACGAAAATTCAGAGGCTTACCGTAGATAATAGTGATGACATTGAGCAAAAGTATGCTTCTCACTTTCTTGGATGCAAAAAATATTCTTCGCCACAATGCTCGTCTTGCAAACAATGATTTGAAACTTAAGCTCGGACCTTTCTGTAATCCAGAAAAGGCACCATTTATTGAAGAACTATAGGGTTCTTTATTTTGTAAATCATCATTTATTTTAATGGGTTCCACTGATTTCTTCAATCTCTTTCTTGCACTACCAGTAGCAGCACAACAAGCAGAGGAAGAAAAGGAACAGAAATTGGAAGACCATGCTATAATACGATGCCGTTTGGAGTTATAGAAATGAGGTAAATTGGAGGAATGTAGAGAATTTGTAGTTTTGTTGGATGGCCATTGCCACGGCGACGGTGCAGCCATAGATGGTGAAACTCAGCTCAGACGAGCACTGCTCTCTGCAAATCCGTTCCTCAAGAGAAGCAAATCTTGAATACAGGCCAGTAACCCAGTGGACACACATATTCCCAAGATTAGGCTGCTGGCACAATTATAGCCCCTTTTGGTAATTGCCTTTTCACCCTCCAAAAATTTTATTTTTTAACCGTTATTTCACCATTTGAATGATCATTTTTTACTTTTTCACTAATAGGTAGCTCCACTTTTTTTCATAATGGTCAAAAAATCAATTCTCATAATCACTACCATATGGACCTGTTCAACATTTGATTTCATTAAAAAGAAAATCTAATTTCAATTATAATTTCTTTATAGTTTGTCCAAATACATGGGTTAAAGCTGTAGAG